CTTTGTCTCCTTTGTTATACTTCAATGCTGAGTATTCTTTTTCGTTGAAATTCGTTATATGTGTTTCAAGTTTATAGAATCCATCTGAAACTGACCCGCATCCTATGTGCTTGTTCAACTTGTGATGATATTTTGTTATAAAATTCGTTTTAATATATGCTTCCAGAACTATTACAAATATACGAAAATATATTATTATTTTGCATTATGACATTATATTTTTTGTTACCTTATTAAATTGTTATATTATTATAATTGTTATTGTTATTACTTTTATTGTTATTATTATTATTATTATTTATATACATAAATTAAAGGAACGTACAATTGAAAACCATAAATAACTGTATTCAAACTTATATTAATTAAATCTACACAAAACTTACTAATACGATGCGAGGTGTTCATAACTTCACTTAATTTTACATAATGTGGTTCAGTTTGCTCCAATTTTGAATGATAATTCCCTAAAGTAGTAATTACTGTTCCTCTTTGAATTAATAATTCGAATTCGACATTTCCTTGATTAAATTTTTCATTTCTAGGTTTTCTTGCCTGCGCTCCATCCAAATGAACAATCTATTCAAAAGTAGTTTAATTTTATATTATCATTATTTAATTATATAAAAAAGCAAAGATAAAATTAGAAAAATTACAGAATTAGTTCGAACAAGCTGTTCGATTCGATCCACTTCATCATTCCATGCTACTACCTGGATCTTTTTCCCAGTACCATTATTAATAAAAAATTTAAAAAGTCTGTAGCTTTCGTTATCTTTACAAATAGTTCGCGAAGCCTCAATACTTTCACGAAAAACATTAGCTATATATTTTTTAAAACAGAAAATTATAAAATTTATTATTTACAATTACCGTAAGTATTAAAATTCAAATATTTAAGTTTGGATATAGTAAATATACACGTATAATATAGTAAATACATATGTGTAAAATTTTTTTTAGGCAGTTTAATTTTATGATCCTTTAATTAATTCATTTTGAAACTTTTCTTTCTTTATCTGAAAATATATCTTACCTGTCCAATAAATCGAATTGATTCTTTAAATGATTATTGTTGTGATTATTTATAACAATATAATCAAGAGAACTGAAGATCCTATTATATTTAACATATAAAAATATCACTCAATTACATGCATTTAACATTTTATTTTATCAAAAAGTATAAAGTAATTTTTACAACATCATAATAGTTTTAGAACTCGAAATTTTTCATTTTTGGAAACTCTATTCACATACATACAAAAATAGAGATAATGATGAAAAATATTATCATTAGAATTGCTTTAATCACGAGTAAACATAAATTGTAGTAAATAATGTTGCATTAGTAATAATGAAATGTTTAAGAGATAATGTACAAAAGTGCATAATGTATAAATGCAAGTGACATAATATAATTACCACACACATAATTGTACTAAAATCAAATACTAATTATTATCCTTAGTTGAAATCTCTTCTTACTCTTCCTCCCTTGCTTCCTCCTTTCATTATTTTATATATATCCGTTTTTCTTTTCCATTCGCAATGTTTGACAGTAAAAGAAAACCAATAACTGAAAATAAAATACAACACAAAGTATCAATTTTTTATGATAAGATTATAAGATATTATAAAAAGTTTAAATAAATAGGTTATACTTATCTGAAACAAGCCGTCAAAAGGGAAAAGAGAAGCCTTATCCAACAATTAAGAAAGCCTTTTTATTTATTGTAATATATTAGGTTTGCTAACCCTTCGATACACACAACTGTCAATAGCACGATTTCCATCGCGTTGACAGCTGCTCACGAAGTAAGCGCAACGAGAGAACCAATCGGCAACGCGGAAAAGAGTCAACAATAAACTTCGAGACTTTCGAGAAGACTTCAATAAATGCGAGAATCGATTTAACATGCCTTTTTTTAGATAGGAT